GGCTGATAATAATCATGTACTAACTAGACTAATCATTAAATAATAGTTTAGCAGACTATTATTTTTACAGGAAGTGTATTGCTGCTCTGATTTCCTGAGGTTGACCTTTGAGGTCAGATGGAAGACAAAACAACGAAGTCAATTTTGACTGGCTGAGTCTGTGTGAGAATGACAGATAGAGAAAGAGATTTCAAGGAGTCGAGTCTTAACATCAAACAATGTAGACATGTTTTCTCTCATATCTGAAACAGCTCCCCAGTTGGGGAAAGTGATCCAATTGGATAAATAGAAGATGTATACATCAACATTGATAAAATAGTTAAGTAAAATTCCCTGTGTTCGAGTTCTATTATCTGCAAACCAAAACAAATAATGATCACCAACCAGGAGAAGATGAGTAAAAGAAGAATGCAATTTTATTATCGTGCAATCACTGTCACCCCAAGACCACCCCCACCCAGGTGCTATGCAATATAATCAGTTTATTTATTAGTAATTTTTTCAGTTTACTGCAGGACTCAAGGAATCCTCAAGGTATATGACACATGAAAAATAATTAAGCTGTCATATCAGCACATTGATTAGCATGTTGGCAGAAATTGGCATTTAGAGTTGTTGTTCTCCTTACTCTACCAAGGCTAAAGATCCTAGTCTGCACTACTATTTTATTCATAGATGGGGGAAGAAATCAATAAATTCATGCTTTTCCCAAGGTCATTAGTGTCAAATGAATGCAAACAATATCAACTAGAATTTCAACTCAGCCTGCCAATGTCATTTTCTCCAATGATAACAATTACATAATCCACTTACTGTATATTTAGTCATATAAATGATGGTATACATTTATCTTAATCTTTCAAAAGAAGTTTCTGAAAAGGCAGCTGTGTTAATTTCCATTTGTTTAGTAGAATATACAGTGATAATTTAAAGTAACTGGCTGTTGGCTATATAGATTTATATAAAGATAGTTTGAAATTCAGTTCAAGCAGTCAGAAGGTAGTTTTTTTTCTTACATATGGTGTGTAGAGAGTTAAATATTTCTCCCCATCTTACAGAAGAATGATTAGGGTTGAATTTGGTTCAAGATGGTGAAGGTTATTCACATGGTTATGCATAATCATCTTTTTACTTTTAGAAGGAGAATTTGATGATTTAACTACACTTTTTCAATATTTTACCTAAAAATGTCTACATGCCTAAATACAAAAAATGTAGGGAATTTCATTCAAAACTTAAAAACATTCTCCATCATATAAAAATTAGACATTTTTAAAGAAATCTTTTCCTTCATAATTTCCCCCTCTTCATCATTTTGAAAAATTGAACATTAAAAAAAATATCCATCTTTTCATGAACAATTTTTAAAAATATATAAACATATCTTGATGAATATTGGTGTTTTATTGTTAAACAAAATACACCAACCTACACTGACATAAGTTCATATATGCAACACTATAATGCACTCACTGTTTTCCAAATGATTCAGACACATAAGTGCAGTAGTAGATTATTATTAGCGAAAACTACTACCATGAACACTTTAAGAAAACAATTATACTTAGCAATGAACTCATCAGACTTTTAATATCATTCTGGGAGAATTGCCTTTACAAATTGGGACATAAGATACTCAGCAGTACATATGTCAAGTTTATGGAAATACGTGAATAAAATAATTAACTTTTGGGGCTCTCAGCTACAAAATTAATACAAGTTGAAATGTTCATATTATGAATGCTGATATCAAGTGAAATGGCTGGTGAATGTTTCCCTCACATCCCATAATTGGTTGAGATCATTAGGGAATACTGGAAAGGTATTTTAAAAGAAATCATCATCAGCAGAAAAAAAAAATCTATCTGTTCATGTTGAGTGCTATATTTATCTTCAGAGTTAACTTTGTTCCTATATCAGATTATTTGCATCTCTGTTCATTTCTATGCATGGTAAGGGTAATATTAGCCATTTCCTTATAAGGAAACATTCCACATTCATTGACTGAGCAGCCAGTGCTGTTTTCAGTTGAAATTTATCTTTCTGTTTAAACAATTTTTCAGGAAAATAGATTTCCCAATTCCAGTAGCTGTCATCAATCTTTCCAGTAGTGATGGAGGTTTCCTTCCTAACCTTTTTATTTCAAGTAATTTGGAATGTCACTATGTTGATTATGCCATTATTTTCTCTTTGAGTTACATGTGATAACAATTTTAGCTATTGCAGCTGTTTGAAGTCCTTAAGTGAAATGGTTTCTATTATTTGGTACTGTTCTTTGTGATTCTATAATGCCATTCCACAAGGCTCAAAGTAGGATGATCTTCACCAAGACACATAGGCTTCACTCACTCAAAGCCGTTTTAACCATTGATCTTAGGAAGTTCTTGTATACAACCGACTGTTCAGATATTTATGAACAAGTTTGGTGCCAACTATGACAATCATATGACTTGATCTGACAAGGCTACGTAAAAATATGACTCGAGTTTTCAGGTTAACAGATGATCATTTTGATCTATCTTTGTTCACTTCTCTAGCTTTATATTAATCTCTCTCTCTCTCCCTCTCTCTATATATATATAAATATAATATATATATATAATAAATATATATATATATATATATATAATAAAAATATATATATATATATATATATATAATAAATATATATAATAAATATATATATATATATATATATATATATATATATATATATATATATATATATATATATATATATATATATATATATAAAATAATAAATGTCAATGGGTCACACATTTTCAACTTCACTCTTAGAGGCTGTAGCCTAACATATCACATCATTTTGGAAACAGGGGGAGTCTGTGAACAAATTAAAAACATTCCAGGCTGATCGATGACCTGCAATCCTGAAATTTTGGATTCCCAAGTTTTCATAACTGCGATTGTTTTCAGTGATTTTTTTGCAACAAATTTTTTTGTATGATAACAGTTTTTATAACTTGGAAATAAATTTGAGAATAATAAAATTAATTGTGAAATCCAGCAAAACTCACCCATGAAATAAAAATAATTGCTTGTATGGAAAGTAAGGACCTATGAATATCAAATTGTCTTTAAATTAATTGTGGCAGAAGAATTATCATTGAACTTTTAAAAGATAAGCTTAAATATTAAGTAATACTTAAATGCAGTGATCAATTTTGAGTTCTGTAGTTTATTATTGACTGTTACATTTATTCATCCCTACCTATTGTGATGAAGACCCAACCAAAAGACCTCTGCAGGAGCTAGCTTAAATGCTATATATATATATATATATATATATATAAAGATATTTCTTATACATTCTTTTTATAGATACAAATATTTAAGTAAATGGTCTGTTTATAATAAACAGTATTAATGATATTTACCGGCCTGAATGTCTGAGAAATTTTCATAGAAAATATGCGTCCTCCAACAGGAATCAAACCTGTATCCTGTATGGAACTGTCATATAGCCTGACGTGCTTTACCGATTTTGCCACAGAGGAGTGTTTCAGTTAGCAAGGTTGATTTTACTATTTTTAGACTACAATTCTCCATGATTTTCTCTTGTACATTCATATCTGCTTGATGTGTATCCAAATGTAAACAAATGATGTTACACATTATGAAATGGACAAAGTCTGACAATTATTTTAAGTTATTTTTTATGTTTATATGTTCTTTTTATAGATACAAATATTTAAGTAAATGCTCTGTTTATAATAAACAGTATTAATGACATTTACCAGCCTGAATGTCTGAGAAATTTTCATAGAAAATATGCATCCTTTGACAGGAATAGAACCTGTATCCTATACGGAACTGTAAAATCGACCTTGCTAACTGAAATGCTCCTCTGTGGCTAAATCGGTAAAGCACGTCAGGGTATATGATGATTTCGTGTAAGATACAGGTTTAATTCCTGCTGGAGGACACATATTTTATGAAAATTTCTCAGACATTCAGGCCAGTAAATGCCGTTAATACTGTTTATTATAAACAGAGCATTTACTTAAATATTTGTATCTATAAAAAGAATGTATAAACATAAAAAAAATATCTTAAAATAATTGTCAGACTTATTTCATAATATATATATATATATATATATATATATATATATATATATATATATAATAAACCTTATATATAAATATATATGTATAAACCTTACTAATATGTGAGAGGTAAAATTGATGATTTTTTTTAAATGTCGAAAACTTTTGTAAACTTTTTGCAGGATATAACATTGTATGTATTTAGTATACTTAAAAAAAACTCAATAAGTATTTATACTGTGTATGTAAATATATCAAAAAAACCATATAGATTTTAAATATTCAACTTAAAAACACACAATACACTTACATGATATCACTTTTTAAAAAATTCCCAATGTATTTTTTTGTTTGTGTGCAGGAGGGAGAGAGGATCCAAGTAGACAGGACACACACACACACACACACACATATATATATTAGTAGAAATATTCACAACGAAAAGAATATTTTGTCTCAGGTCTCAAAGTGCAAAAATATATGACTTCAGTTCTTATTAATAATCTTCTATGTGAAAAAATACAAGAAATTTCTACAATCAATGACTGTTAAAAAAGATTCAAATCAGTACACACATATATATATATATATATATATATATATATATATATATATATATATGTGTGTGTGTCTGTGTGTGTGTGTGCTTTTTTGTTTTTTTTTTTCTGTCTAAGTCAAGCCTATTACTATCAAACTGAAATGTAATATTTCCTGTTGTGAATTCTGGGAAATATTTCCTTTTTTTTTTTTTTTTTTATTTTACCCCTACCTCACTAGCTTAAAAGTTCTGAGAACATAACCATACCAGCACATTAAATAAATATATCTAAAAAATATCAAAGGGAATGCTACAAACACAAAATGTAGTCTTAACCATTTCTTTTGCTTAATAACAATATAAAATAAATACCTACATAACTTTCTACTTACCAATATACTCAATCTCATTTATAATCATGTCTGCAGAGACACTTATAGATAGATAGATAGATAGATAGATAGATAGATAGATAGATAGATGTGTGTGTGTGTGTGTGTGTGTGTGTAAAATATTCATAAATACCTCTGTCTATATTTGTATGCACACACATGAGGAGGTGCTGAAAAATATCTACTATCCAAGAAGCCAGTTCCTCTTAAAAAAAATTCAGATGTTTAGTTATTTGGTCAATATTCAGCATCTCCTTGTTGATATAAGTATAGATATGTGTTTTGGTGTGCATATGTGAAATCACCATATTTACAATAATTCAAAAAGAAATTAATAAAAACCTGCAAACAGAATTGGTTTTATAGCTTCCAAAGTGTTTCTACAAATGAACACATACATAAACAATTATAATGTATTTTTTTCTGATCGGTATTTTCAAGAATACAGATTAGCAAAAAATACATTATAATAGATATGGGCTTATTTTTAAAAACATGGTTAGGTTAGTGAAAATACAAACATTCTTTAAGATAGAAACATGAAAAAGAAAGTGCTGGACTGTTATGTAATGTCAATCCTCCTATATGACAGTGAATGCTGAAAAATCCCCTCACAAGACAAGAGAAAACTTGAAGCAACAGAAATGTGGTTCTGTAGAGGGATCCTGAGAATACCATGAATGGAACATGTGAGTAATAAGGAAGTTTTAAAGAAAATTGAAACAAAAAGGATGCTTGTACTTAGAATTAGAAATAGGCAATTAAGCTTCTAGAGTTCATAATGAGGAAGGAGAGCTTGGAGAATCTGACACTCATGAGACATACTCAAAGCAAGAGAGACAGCAGAAAGCAGAACAGAGATTGGAAGGAATGGTGAAAAGATACTTTAATAACAGCCACAGATAAGTTGTAGAGAGCCAAACCTCTTATATGGCAATGAATGCTAGACAATTTCCTCACAGATAAAGACAAGACATGAGGTAACAGAGATGTGTTTCTACTGAATGATGCTGAGAATAACATGGATGAAACATGTGATCCACAAGTAACTTTTAATAAAATTAGAAACAAAAGAGACATGAGGAAATTTATGAGACATATCATGAGAAAAAAAGAGCTTGGAGAATTTGACACTCACAAGACATATTAAAGTCTAGAGGGGAAACACTGAATAAACTACCTTATAGGCTTGTGTAAATAGGTGGTGGAACAGAGACTGAGAGGAATAGTAAAGAGACAAATATTGCTTAGAGCAGTGGTTCTCAAATGGTGTGGCACTCCTCATAGCTGTGGCGGAAGAGGATAGCAAATGAGGCAGAATGATTTAAAGACAATCAAAGATTAAGAAACTGTTTCAAAAAATTAATATGCCAAAAATAAATATGATATCAAAATTTAAAATACTATTATAGATTACCTGCAATTGCATACAGGAATCCTCATATAAATAGTTATAAATAATTGTTGACCGCTTTTATCCTTGTGATATCATATCAAGTATTAAGAATATAGTAACTAGGGTCTGCAAATTGGAGGAGAAAGTTATCAATGATAATGTTCTGACTTTGAATATGTGGTTATTTCTCTTTAACCATATCTCTGTTTTATTTTATTTTTAAATGTACTTTTTTATCACATAAAATTTGGTGAGCTGTGAGTAAAATTTTCATTCTGAAAATCCAACAAAGTGAAAAAATGTTTGGGAACCAAGAAAAAAAGGATAGGAAATTGTGGAGGGCCATTATCAACTGTGTCCTAAAGAAGAGAGGACACACATAAGAAAAATAATTTTTGAGAATAATAAGATAAATTAAGTTTAAAATTTTAAGAAAATAAAATCAGTCATTAAAAAGTTTGAGTTCTATTGTGCTTGAATTAATGCACCAACCTTGACCAACTCTTCCAAAAGACATGGAATACACGAGAATTTTTATCTCTGAGCACATGAGTTGTCTCTAAATCTGGGTGTATTTAACTTAAGATAACCAGATTCAAATCTTGGAAGGGTAAGCTGTTGAAGAAAATGCTCCAACATTTGTATTTTTTTTTTTAAGAATAGAAAGCAATATGAGGAGATAATGAAAATTTCTCAGTCTGACCTACTCACCTAAAATCTAACCAAATGTCTAATCATCAAAATTTTTTCTTTTCTCATCCCTCATTAGTCTAACCAACAACTTCAACATCTAAACATAAATATCAATTATTTTATAATCATTTGAAGCCTTCTTTTTCATAAGGTATGACAAAAGTATTTATCCGAGCAAGTCTTATAAAAACGATTGACCGAGAAAAGAATTTGCTACTCTTGCTAAGTGTTTGTGTCAAAATCATTCAGTTGTGATGATAGTGAGAAATAATGAAAGATGTCTTCTACAAACTAAACAAAGTATGAAGACATAGGAAAATTTTGTCAGAAACAAAGAATGGAGTTCTGAAATGCTATGTAATGTATAAGCTACTGATTATAATTTACAGCAGTGAAGCTGGAACATCACTTCACAGATAAATAAGAGCTCAGAAGTGACAGAGATGTGGTTATACCAACAGAGTAAGAATACCATAGTTTGAGCATGTGAGAAATAAGGAAGTCTTAAGAAAAATAGAAACAAGGAAACTTATGCTTACAGTCAGAGAAAGACAGTTGAAATTTCTTGGGCAAATAATAAGGTAAGGTGATATAGAAAATAGAACACTTATAGTACATAATGAAGGCAAGAGAATCAAGGGTAAATGGGAAATAACCTACTTAATGAGTTTGTATGAATGGAGAGTAGAATAGGGGAAAAAAGAAAGAAGGAAGGTGGGAAGAGCTGTGATCGTTCACATTCTGAAATGATTGGCACTGAAAAGAATATGGTTTTAAAATTAACTTGAAATTACTATGATCTTTGTTTTATTTGACATAATCTTCTATATGCCATGTCCCTTCAAGACATAGAAAGTTGTGGAGAGCCATGATCACCTATCACATGTCATGCTTAGCTGCCTTTTTCTCCTATTGCTAAGATCCTTGTCCCCTTGTTTCAATAGCCATTCACACGTTTGTCAGATAAGTTGCTCACTGCCCTGCCCTATCTCTCTTGCACTTAATATGCCCCATGAGGGATAAGTTTTCCAAGTCCTCATTCCTCATTATGTGTCCAAGAAATTTCAGTTGTCTCTTCCTGATTCTGAATAGAAGAATTGTTTCTGTTGCTATTTTATTTAAGATATTCTTGTAGCTTACTCACTCTATCCATGGAATTTTCCATATCCTTTTGTAGAACCACACCTCTGTTGCCTCCATTTTTCTCCTCATTCATGTGGAGATTGTCCATCATTCACTGCCATATAAGAGGATGGAGACCACATATTCAACACTCTTTTCATTGTTTCTAAAGATTTTATAGGGCATTTATTTAACCCTTTAATGCTTTTCTGTCACAGTTTTGCAATTATGGGCATTAATGGGTGATCAGTAGAGATCTATAAAACTGGATTAATATGAACCTATAATAAATGCCAGATTTATTATAGGGACTATAACTTTGAAAGATCATTTGCAAACTCAAAGAAAAAAAACTTACTTTAAACCTTACTTAATTTCTTTTGAGAGGCAAAAATAGAATGATAATAAAAAAAATAAATAAAATTGGTTTATTATTAAAATTGTTGCTAACAAGATTATATTGACAACTGATGAGGGTCAAAAAGAAAAATAGAAATTAGATTAACTAATACAAAAGTTTCTATCAACTTATGAATTTATTAACCTTGTATAACACAAAATTATATAATTCCAAGTACAGTACTCTAGTAGATAAAGCAAATAACTAATAGTATTCCAAATATAATCAACATAAAAATGAATGACTAACACAGATTTTTTTTTATTAGCATTTACTTTTGGTTTCTTCCTGAAAATCCTCATGGGATAAAAGAAGAAAGAATCACGATTCCTTAAAATCAATTAACAGAAGAGCTTAACAAAATACCCAAATTTTGTTAAGTAATTCATGGTATCAAAACACCCACACAAAAAAAAAAAAAAATATAAAAGGAAAAAATAAATTCTAAGGGTAATATTACAAGAACCCACCAGAGTCTAACTTAAAATATCACAGCTTTTTAAAGGAAGTTAGAAAATTGATAAAATTTATTTCTGTTACTGATGTCAGATAAATTAATAATTTATTCTGATATTTCTTCCTAAATATATTTTTTCACATTAAATTATTCCTTAGGTGGAATTGGTTAATGGTTAAATACTATTGTAAACTTCTTATGAAACTACATATGAATATTTTGTAATTTTTTCTTTTTTGCTGACCCAAGAGTCTGATTAAAAGTTAAACCGATAATTATGAAAACTACTTTATCTCAATCAACCACTATTTCCTGTGAAAACGTGATTTTTAATGTAAAAATTATAGGAGGATAAATTAATATAATTTAAGAAAGTAAAACTATTTTTAAATTATTAATGCTTATAATGATTTATTCATTAAGACTACTGTGTGTCCTTTAAGTAAATCCATGTAAGAAAAAATATTTCTTATTCTATGATTTTGGCTTAAAATTCTATTACCAACATTTTGACAATGAAATTAAAATAAATGATTGCTTGCTCTCATACAAATTCATAAATGTAAATATATTCAATATAAAAAAACAACTAATTCACTAAAGAACCTTAAAACAGATGTGCACATATATATATATATATATATATATATATATATATATATATATATATATATATATGAAATACAAGTATGTTATAAATATCTAGCTAGCATTGTGCATTTGTTTCAGGGCAAACACTTTTTCTAAATCATTCCATGACCATAACTGTGCTATTCTCTGTCATGTTTTACAAGTAAACCCTGCAATCTCATCTCTTCATTTTCTATCTGGACTTTTCCTACATTTGCTATCCATTAGGAGAATATATATATATATATATATATATATATATACACACAGAGACATACATACATACATACATACATACACACACACACACACACCACAAAAAAAGCAAAGTGTTGTTCCAGCCAACAGAAGGTTCACTGGATAATTTTCTTAATAAAAAGAAAATCAAATAATGAATAAACCAAAAACCAAGACAAAAATGATACAAGA